GTTTCAACACATTTTATGGGGAAAACAATTTTTTATTGCAACATAAATTATCAATCAAATGCCTAGCATAATGCTTAATTTCAAGACGTCATTTCATGTTTTGATGGTTATCTATCCACATCACAACTTTCTCTTCTATCCACACATCACATCCTTCTCTTATACCATACAACTTAACATCTTTGGGTATGTATCATTTATCCACATTCATTCCCCAACTCGCACCAAACTTGACCCTAAATCTATCAAGTGTATTTTTTTTTGGGTGTATTTTTCCAACAAAAAGATGTATAAGTGTCGCTCTCTTATTGTCAGAAAATACTATAACTCCATGAATGTCACAATTTTTGAAAATTAATCATACTATCCCAAATTGGATGTTCAAGGGAGAGTGCAAATGAACATCAATTTTTTAATGACGCATACACAACATACCCACCTACTCTTTCCCTTCCACCTAACTCTCTTACTATTGTTGAGGATATCCAACTAAACCAACCTGAAGTCCACAACAAAGGATTTCGTGTGTACACTAGGAGGAAGAAAAACCTTAAGCAGGTGAAAGATAACATGCAAAGATAAAATTGTTTCAACCAATTGAGTCCACATTTACTTGAAATTTTCGGTGTGGTGGTGTCTAGTACTCATGAGTTATCTCTTTACTCCTTTGGTTTTACTGATAAATAAAGTTGTATGGATACTCAATTTAAGAGTGTGTAGCTTATAAAAAACTATCCGCAGTCTATAGATGATTTATATATAATTTTGATAATGTGCTGATTTTTTAAATCCATTCATGAAGACGAGGGAAAAATCCCTGGAAAAAACTTGAATTATGGAGGTCTACAGTTGAGTAGAATTAAAACTGAATACATGGAATGTAATTTTAGTAGTCTTAGCTTTAGTGACATACGTGTAACTTTGGGTGATCAAATTATTACAAGGGGTGAACGATTTAGATATCTTGGGTTTCTTGTTCAAAGCGATGGTGATATTGATGGGGATGTTAATAGTAAAATTCAAGTTAGTTTGTTGAAGTGGAGGAATGTTTCGGGCCTTTTGGTGTGATAGAGAAGTGCCGCTTAGACTGAAAGAAAAATTTTATAAGATGGTGGTGAGATTTGCAATGCTCTATGGCGTTGAATGTTGGCCTTTAAAAGAGAAGCATAATACTGAGTTAAGTTTTATCGAGATGAGAATGATTTGGTGGATGAGTGGCTTTCCACTTAGAGACAAATTGCAAAATGAATATATCTGTGATAGGGTTGGTGTAGCTCGAGTGAAGGACAAAATTAGAGAGAGTCGACTTAGATGATTTGGTCACATTAAACGTCAACCATCTGATGATTCGATTAGGAGAATAGATGTTTTAGATTCGACTTATGTTAAGGAAGGCAGAGGTAGACCTAGGAAAACTTGGGCTTATTGTATAAAAAATGATCTTAATTTATTAGAACTAAATGAAATAGGACACTAAATAGGACACAATGAAGAAAAAAAATTCATGTAGCCGACCTCACCTAGGGGGATTAAGGCTTTGTTTTCATCGTCGTTGTTATTGTATTCATGAAGTTAATCAAATCCCGAATAGAGAAAAATCAACGGAAGAAGAGATTCGAATGCTAAAGCATAATGAGACAGAATCTTACTAAACTTCCTCAAGACAAGAAACCAGTTGGATAGAAACATGTGTTCAACTTAAAATAGAAAGCTGATGGGATTGTTGAGAGATTCAAAGCTAGACTTGTTGCTAAAAGTTTCACACAAGAATATGGAATCGACTATCAAGAGAATTTTGTAACAATTGCCAAACTAAATACTATCAGAGCTTTTCTTTCAGTGGAAGTTAACAAGAAATGGGAATTGCATCAACTTGAAATAAAAAAATGTCTTCACGAATGAAGATCCAAGGAAGAGTGTACATACATGAAGACTTGAGAATGTTACAACTTAAATTCCAACGGAAGTGAGGTATCCTTCTATTGAGAAACATTGTTTGACATTAATCTTCGCCGTCCAAAAACTCAGATACTACATGCTTTCTCATAAGATCACCCTTATTTCAAGATTTAATCCACTACAATACTTGATGACTCTGCCGACACTGTCTGGAAAGTTGGCAAGATTGTCAATGATATTGTTGCAGTTCGACATAACCTTTATGCCCCTTCGAGCCGTTAAATGACAAGTCTTAGCAGATTTTCTCGCAGCGCACCCACTACCGGCCGAATCTCCTCTCAACGACGACCTGCCAGACGAACAGATAATGAGCCTGGAAATCCCCAATATTCGACGCTGAGAGCTGTACTTTGACAGAGCTTCATCAGCAAGGAAAGATAAAGGAATGCAAACAATAGTGCCCGACAAAGCAGGAATTGGGCTAATATTCATCACACCGGATCGGGGAATGTTAAGATTTTCCTACCATTTAACGGAGCCATGTAGAAACAACGAAGCAGAATACGAAGCACTATTAACAGGGCTGCAGTTAGCAATATCAATGAACATAACAGACATCGACATCTACGACGATTCACAACTCATAATTCAACAAGTAGCCGGACGGTACAAGATCCTAAAGCCCAAATTGGAACAGTACCACCGCAACACGATGAAATTACTAGAAAAGATTCCCAATGTGACATTGTATAGAATTCCTCGGGGAGAGAACGCTTTGGCCAAGCTCGCTAAGGAATTTACATGTACACAAGAGGACTCCATCGACATAACAGTTCAAGGACTCCAAGTCTTATCCCAAATTGACATGGATACTCTCCATAGACAAGATAAGGAAGAAGCATTGATAGCAGTGACTGAGTCTACAGAGGATTGGCGCCAACCGTTTATAGAATATTTGCGAACAAGGCAACTACTGGATGATAAATCAGCAGCACATCAGATACAGAAGAGGGCCTTGTCATATGCCATGGTGGACAATGTCTTATACCAGAGATCATTCGATCAAATGTGGTTACGATGTTTGAGCTAGACAGAAGCACATGACATTGTCAAAGAAACACATGCAGGACTTTGTGGAGCTCACCAGTCGGGCCCGAAAATGAAAATGAAAATCAAGAGATTGGGTTACTACTGGCCAGCAATGGAAACCGCTAAAAATTTCACCAATGCCAAGTGCACGGAGTGGTCTTGCATCAACCTCCGAACGTGCTACATCTTACAATTGCATCGTGACCATTCGAGTGTTGGGGCACAGATATAGTGGGTCCAATAGACCATCCGTCTTCAAAAGGCCACAAATTCATACTTGTAGCAACAAATTATTTCTCGAAATGGGCAGAGGCGGTACCGTTAAGAGAAGTCAAAGCACATCATGTCCTTCAATTTTTTAAAGATCAGATTGTGTACCGTTTTGGCATCCCACACAGAATCATTTCAGACAACGGTTTGGCTTTCAAAAGCACCAAAATTAACAGTTTCGTTAAACGACACGACATTGATTGGAGAGGCTTTTAACAAAACACTTGTGCAAATCTTGAAAAAGACACTTGACGACAACAAGAGACGATGGCATGAACAGTTACTAGAAGCCTTGTTGGCATATATAACAACATTCAGAACTCCTACATAGTCCACACCATATGCCCTCATGTACGGAACCGAAGCGGTGCTTCCTCTGGAAGTACAACTCCCGTCCCTCAGGATAGCGGTGGCAAACAAGATACCAACAGAAGAGAACGCTAAACTCCAACTTGAAGAGCTTGAAAGTCTCGAAGGAAAAAGACTATTAGCGCAACAAAATTTGGAGTTATACCAAGCGAAGAAGATACAGGTCCACGATAAACTGGTCCGCTCAAGAACGTTTAAAGTCGGTGATCTGGTCCTTGTACTCAGACGACCTTTTCTTGCACACCGCAAGATAGGAGGTAAATTTGAACCGACTTGAGAGGGACCGTTCGTGGTTGAGAAGGGTTACTCCGGAGGGTCATATCAATTGGTAGATTGTCAGGGCGATAGGCCTATGCCCCCGATAAACGGGAGATATTTAAAGAAATATTACGCATCTTGATGTTTTAAAGATTGAATCTTGTTCTTAGAAACACAGATGTGATAGTTGTCTATGACTGGGTCCAATAATAAATTTTTTTTTATTTCACAACTTAAAAAATGGAAATTGGCATAATGACTTTTCACAAAATCTTGAATTTGAGTTCTGAATCTTTATAATCATAATTAAACAAAAAAAAAACAATCACAACTAAGTTTTGTTCTCGTTTAAGTTGAAATTCAGCACGCTGACTTACTTGTTTTCCTGTTTTCTGCAGGAAAATGTCGGGCAAGAAGCTGATTTTCTCCTTCAAAAATGACATTAATCTCGCACTGAACGAGCAAAAAGTGGCGGAGGGAGCCATCGTTTATTTCGACTTAGACTTCGAGAAAGTTGAAATGGTATACGAGGGGCCCCTACTTGAAGTGGTAAATCAAGCAGAGGTACAAGATCAGAAGCCTGTGCTAGAGTTCCGAAGCAAGCAGGAAAACATACTCACAAAAAAGAGGAAACTTGAAGAAGTCAGCAAGGTAGCTCAAACTAATGATGGTCCAGTGCAGGAGACCACCAAAATAAGGTCCATGGTCATGACAGCAGGGGGTGAGCTCATCAGTGCCCCTCTGAGGAAGATCCCCATGACACGTTCGCAGCGGAGGAACCTCGCTCGCCGCAAGCACAGGGTACTTGCTCGTCTAGAAGAAAAACAATCAAGTGAGCCAGTTGTACAAGATCTTCTAACCATGAGAAAGAAGAGTTACTGGAGCAATCAGTCAAGGGTACCTTACCTCTCCAGGCAATAAACCAGTCAGAGTCAAAAGCTAACGAAACTCGCACACTCGCCAAATACACGCCCCTCAGGTCGCGCGCAGCACATATAGTTCAAGAAGCTCTCCCTACTACAAAAGAGAATAAAAAAGTCCAAGACATTCAGCCATACGTCCCACCACTTGGTAAGCCAAGAAAGTTGTAAATAATTTCAGAGGAAGAGTTGGAAATGTTCCAGAAGGTTCGAAAACAACGTTTTGAACATCGTGAAAAGATACAGGGAAAGTATATCAACATTCTTGAAGGACTTGAATTACATACCGGCGTGTTTTCTGAAAGTGAACAAAGGAGGATAGTTGACTATGTCTTCCATCTCAGAGATCTGGGTCGAGCAGGTCGCTTAAGGAAGAGGACTTATTCTGAGCCTCAGAAATGGATGAGAGGAAAAGGACGGATCATCATTCAGTGTGGTTGTTGTTATAACTTCGCATATGATAATGAAGGAAATCCCTCGATGATTATAAGACACGACGAGGTGGATCCGATACCACCAATTATAAAGAGGATGATCCAGAAAATGGTATTATGGCACGTATTGTCTGCCAACTGCGTGCCTAATAGCTGCATAATAAACATTTACGAAAAGGAGGACTGCATTCCGACACATATCGATCATCATGATTTTCTGAGGTCGTTCAGCACCGTCTCGTTCATCAGTGAATGCAACATTTTGTTCGGCAGTGACTTACGAACAATCGGGCCAGGAGAATTTCGAGGCTCAGCTGAAATTCCTTTACCCCTCGGGTCAGTCCTGGTACTTAAAGGGAATGGGGCAGATTTAGTTAGACACTGTATCCCGGGAGTTCCGCGAAGAAGAGTTTCAATAACCTTCAGAAAGATGGATGATAGTAAGACGTCGTTTGGATATCGACCTGATCCAGATCTAGAGGGCTTACGACCTTTGGAGTTATGACTGCCTAGAGACAGCACGCCTCTAAGCATACATGAAGGGACTCCGGTTCTAGAATGTATTTTAGAAGGGTTAATCTCTGCCTAACTCCGAAGGTGCGCAAGCAGATGCTATTGCTATGATTTGATGACTACGACATAGATTATGTTATCCTATCTTATATCACTGTACTCAGTTTCAACAAAGTTAAGATTTTTCTTCAACAACTTACAGAAGATCAATACATTTTCATAGCTGCCACTCTGTGCGATTGATTTAATCGCTGTTGAAACAAGTTTGTCCCGTTTTGAACAAAACAGAGAGACAAAAGAACGATGTGAACAAAATTAAGTTTAATAACTTAAATTCAACATTTTAAACTACAACAGAACAACATTAAATCAAATAAAATCAAAACATTTTAAATTCGAAACCACGTTCCAATCCTGACCCTGTTAGGTTGAGCCTCCTCGGCCTATCATCATTGTCATCTCTTGACCCAAAATCTTCTATCATAGAAACTCTGGGTCCTCTTATACTTTGTTCGTGGAATTTCCACAAGACTTCTAGTCTACGATAGCTTGCGAAAAGGGTCTGACGGTTTTAATCTACATAACTGCATCTTTCTTTTGTCTTCCTACTCATCTTCGGTTAGACCACATTCATTGTGAAGTTGAACAAATCTTCAGTTCCACAATTTGCACGAATTTGCACAATCTTCCTACAGTATACACATTTTCGCTACCTCTAAGGGTTGGAAATTAGTCCCAACGCCTTCCTTCCTGACGTAGTAGACTTCTTGAGTTGGAAGTTAGTCCCAGTGCTTTCCCACTCATCCTGATCATTTCGTCACCGCTTAGGTTGGATGTTAGTCCTAGTGCATTCCTTCCTAATGTGATAGGCATTTTCACTACCTCTAAGTTGGAAATTAGTCCCCGCGCATTCCTTCCTGATGTAGCAGACTTCTTGAGTTGGAAATTAGTCCCAGTTCTTTCCTACTCCTTTTGATCATTTCATCACCGCTTAGGTTGGATGTTAGTCCTAGTGCATTCCTTCCTAATGTAATAGACATTTTCGCTACCTCTAAGGGTTGAATATTAGTCTCAGCGCCTTCCTTCCTCATGTAACAGACTTTTTGATCATTTCGTCAACTTAGGTTGGAAGTTAGTCCTAGAGCATTCATTCCTAATGTGATAGGTATTTTCGCTACCTCTAAGGGTTGGAAATTAGTCCCAGCGGCTTCCTTCCTCATGTAGCAGACATTTTGATCATTTCGTCACCGCTTAGGTTGGAAGTTAGTCCTAGAGCATTCATTCCTAATGTGATAGGTATTTTCGCTACCTCTAAGGGTTGGAAATTAGTCCCAGCGGCTTCCTTCCTCATGTAGCAGACATTTTGATCATTTCGTCACCGCTTAGGTTGGAAGCTAGTCCTAGTGCATTCCTTCCTAATGTGATAGGCTTTTTCGCTACCTCTAAGGGTTGGAAATTAATCTCAGCGCCTTCCTCCCTGATGTAGCAGACATTTTTGATCATTTCGTCATCGCTTAGGTTGGATGTTAGTCCTAGTGCATTCCTTCCTAACGTGATAGGCATTTTCGCTACCTCTAAAGGTTGGAAATTAGTCCCAGTGCATTCTGTCCTGATGTAGAGACTTCTTGAGTTGGAAGTTAGTCCCAGTGCTTTCCCACTCATCCTGATCATTTCATCACCGCGTGGGTTGGATGTTAGTCCCAACGTCTTCCTCCCGATGTAGCAGACTTCTCGAGTTGGAAATTAGTCTCAGAACATTCCCTCTCAATCTAATCACTTTATCACCTATTACATTGGATTTTAGTGCTAGCACATTCCTACCTCATGTAAAGGACCAGCTACACCTGGGGTTGGATATAAGTCTCAGTGCTTTCTTCCCCAACGCAGCAAATATTTATTGATCAGCTCTCAGGTTAGATACGAGTCTCCTAGTATTTCTTATTCAACCTGATTCCTTCCTACAAATATCCTCCGCGAATACTCTGCAAATTTTCACAGCATCTTTCCCAATACATTCGCTACCGCTAGGGCCGGATGCGAGACCCCGTATTTTTCGCCTCACTATAGCAGACATTCTTTCGACACTCACTTGGGTTGGATATGAATCACTGTGTTTTCCTTCCCAATACGACAATTACTTTTGTCACTGACTCTCAGGCTGGATATGCACCCTTGTGCTTTCCTGCATGACCTGATCTCTAAATCCACTGAAATCAAAACAAACTTAATCGACATTCGGAATTTGAAAATTCAAACTCACAAACACAATCTGAAAACACACCTTCAAATCCCCAGCGAAAACTCTCATCTCTCTACTTGAAGCCTTTCTCGAGCTAAGATTTCCTGAGTCGGAACTCCAGCTTGAGTTCGATTGCTAATCCCAATTCGACATTCGGTTCGCTCTAAGTAGATCTACTTTCACGAACTCTTTGGTTTTGTTGTCGCTTCGGTCAACACCAATACGCGCGATGTGCTTGTCTCGCACACCACACCTATTGAGGGTCAATTTGTTGACCTTTGTTGACCTCATTTCTGGATGAGGTCTCTTTTTTTGTCTCTCCTTAGAGCCTAGGGTCTAGCTTTAGGCTTCCCAGGCTCGACTCTCTTAGAAGACTAGTACGGAACCCACACCATTTAGAAAATTCGAGCCACCTCGTCACTCCTTTGAGTTTCGCATGAGCGGTCCCAAATTTTCGACTTCCTGTTGAGTTGATTAAGATCGACACATGAAACTCGAGTCGAGTTCCTACATTAATAGGAGCAGCCCCTAGGGAACCCCTTTGTGACCCGAACGCTCGATAATGTCGCATTTTGCGTACTCACTACGCCACACACATTTTTGGTTTGAATTGACTCGTCCGTCGGCAAACTCGATCGGACGACCCCTGATAACGAAACAGACCGCGCCGACGCGTCCGGAACGTCGATTTTAGCTGGAAATGACACCCATATTGTTGTGGTACTACAATTGCGCGAACTGCACGAATATCGATGCACCTTTTTTTTAGCGGTGTGCGGGCTCGGGCTCCACTCATGTCCGACTCAGGTTTGATTCAGGTTGGACTCGGGCTGAACACGGGCTAGGCATCAGCTCACCTGGATTTGAAATTTAAATTTCAAAATTCAAATGGATTATTTAATTTTTTGTCTTAATTAAAATTATCGAAGTGTTAATTATTTCCAATTAATCTCTCCTGCATTTGGAAACTATTTATTTCCCCGCCAATTGATTTGAGTAACGGCTCTCGACCTCGCTCCAATTCTAAAAGGAAGGGATCACTCCTTCCTTGGTAGTGGGTTTCCTCTGCCTCTCCCGAGCTCTTCTCTCCCGTTCGCTTTCACTCAACTTTCCCATTCCTGTCGCGCTTCCACTGCAAGCAGGAAGCTCGCCCGTCTCCCACACCGAAGCCGCTCGATCCCGTCTCCCGCACTGAAGTCGCTCGATCCCGTCTCCCGCATCGAAGCCATCTCGCTCGATCCCGCCTCTCGCTCAACGCCTTCGCCTTTTCCTCCCTCTCGTGTGCGACAGAGCAGCCGCTCGATCGCTCGTCCGCTCCTACCCGCTCGACCACTCCTCCTTGAAGCACCCCTCCGCAACTCCCTCGCTGGTCTCTTTCTTCCTCGCGCTCTCGCTCGGGATTCCTCGGCTTCTCTTCCTCGTTCGACTGAGGCTGCTCGTATCCTCCTCCTCACACAGTTACAACTCCTTTCGAAGGATTTCCTGTCAGGTATGCGAAATCTATCTGCGATTTTTTATTTTTATTTTTTTTTCTTTCTATTCTTTTTTTAAACGTTTCTTGATCTTATTAAAATTTAGTAGTTTGTTTATGTGATGCAATTGTGAAGTTTTCCCGTGGGATGTTTTTCTTGGCTTTGGTGGGATTCAGATTCCTCCAGATGGATGGGATTAAGGGAAGCATACGTTTATTAGAGATGCGAATGATGTTTGCTTTCATTTACATTTATTGATCATGGATGTTCTTTATCTTTAAAATTGAATTTCATGCGAAACTTTATCTGTAAAATCGAATTCCATGCGAAACCCAGATTACTTGCTCCATTGCTTTTAAAGAAACTTCTCGATAAAAAAAAAGAAGTCTTCGACCTTCTTTATCTCCTTATTTCATTCATAGAAATCAAGATTGACGTTTTGCCATCCACTTGGAACCTTGCATAATGAAAATGCCTGTACTCGATTCTATTCAGTCTTCAACGTTATCATTAGTAATTGTTGGTGTTATCCTTAACAATTTTGACCACTTTAAACTGATCTAAGGCCTCATAGCTTGACGAAATTATTTTCAGCTATTTAAAATATATGTTAGTTGTTTTGAGGTGATTTAGAACACCTGTTTTGAGGTGATTTTGAGGATGTTTCGCTGCAGTTTTCTGTGAGTCTTTTAATGTACCGTTTCAGGATGGTTTATCATTGTTTTGGAGGATTTTGTGTTCCATTTAAGTGCTGTTTGAAGTTGCCAATCACTGTAGAGCGCTGCAGGAGTGCTGGTTGGGCTTTAAATTTGTCGTTTGGGAGCAGTTTGAGATGAAAGACTGCTGCCCATTGCTAATTAAAGGCTGTTTGGAGTGTTTGGAGGTCGTAGGAGCGCTGTAGGAGTGCTGCTTGGGCTTTAAATTTGTCGTTTGGGAGCTGTATGAGATGTAAAACTGCTGCTCTTTGGTAATTAAGAGCTATTGGAGCCTTAGGAGGGCTGTTGGAAGCTTAGAAAAGCCTTAGGAGTGCTGTTGAAAGCTTAGAAAAGCCTTGGGAGTGTTACTTGGGCTTTGAATTTGTCGTTTGGGAGCTGTATGAGATGTAAAACTGCTGCCCATTGCTAATTAAGAGCTATTGGAGCCTTAGGAGGGTTGTTGGAAGCTTAGAAAAGCCTTGGGAGTGTCGTAGGAGCGCTGTTGGAGCCTTAGGAGTGCTGTCGGAAGCTTAGAAAAGCCTTGGGAGTGCTGCTTGGGCTTTAAAGAGTTGCTTGGGCTTTAAATTTGTCGTTTGGGAGCTGTTTGAGATGAAGGACTGCCGCCCATTGCTAATTAAGGGCTATTAGGGGTGTTTGGAAGTTGTAGAGGGTCGTAGGATCGTCGTACAAGCCTGCTAGTTGCTGCCTCGAGCTGTAAGAGCTGTAGGACCGCTGTTCAATGCTTCTATTTGCTGCCCAGTTTCGTAGGAAACCACGTAGGAGATGTCTACCACAATTTGGGTTTCATTTAGAAGCCATCTAGTCGCTGCCCACCTCTGTTCAGATTCGTAGGAAGCCACATAGGTGTCGCCCATTGCTGTTTGGGTTCATAGGAACTCATAAAAGTGTTATTCGAGATTCCTAGCTACTGTCCGGAGTCGTAGGATCACCGTACACATTCACTAGTATATTACCGGAGCCGTAGGAGATCGTAGGATCACCATACTAGCTCGCTAGTTGCAGTCAGGAGTTGTAGGAGGCCTTAGGATCACCTCTTTTGGGAATTCCTAACTGTTACTACAACTTGTTCTACTGTTTACTATTTTCTTTCTTTGCAATTTATTTAAAATCTCTGCAAATTATATTGTGCTTTGTGAGTTAAACATGCAACAGGAATATCAGCAGCAGATACGTCACATACGCTGGTACATTTTATTTGTTGTTGTTTCTTTATTTTATTGCAATTACTCTTGCTCTAACCCATTATGCAGGTACTGAATACGATCTCACTTTCAAAACAAAACAAATTTTCAAAATTAAACAACTTTTCAAAAAAAAAAAAACAAAACATAACACGTTCTTTCGAATTTACGGGAGTTCCTCGGAGGAGGTAACCCACGGTTGCTAACGAGATCTCCTCGGTTTAAATGGGTTTCACAACTCGTTTAAACTAAGTAAGTTCAAAAGAAAATAGTGATACCGGAAGGAGGGAGCCGTGAGATCCTAACCGGTGTCGCTATAATCAACTTGAACCCCCCATTGACAACCAAACTGAGACATTGAAACACACCTTGTAAAACTGTTTGAACTTTAGACATTAAGACTGTTACTGCGACGAGGAGCTCAGAGCAACTTCGTGGGCAGCACGACAAGGAGTTTGGAGTGAACTACATGTGGAGGTGGTCGCAATTCTACAACAGCAAAATGAGTCTACACCAACTGGAACTTTCCTAGTTTAAATAACCCATAGGACTTCGAGGTAGCTCGCCTAGCGCAACGTAATTCCTCTCTCTCTTTTAGGCTCTTGCACAGCTATGTTGTGCAGCGTAAGCCCTAACTCGTTTTAGGTTTCGAGGTTGTCATATAGAATGACGTAAAACATCTTATATTTGTGGGCTATTTGCATAACCAGTTGTTATGCAGGTATAAGTCCCAACTAATAAAATTGACAAGATTTAACATTCAAATAAAATCTTCTCTAAAACACAGCCACACAGTAGGATGGTTTGGGGGTCACTGAGGATTCCCTTCAGAATCTGTGACATCCCATACCCTTTACTTCCTTTGGACTCCTGAAAGGATTGTTCTCACTTGAGCCACTCCCACTTGTTTTTTTTCACGTCCTACCTTGAAAACCTGAACATTGAATTTTTGAATACTAGAACCACTGATCATTATCGAGAGTTTTCTCAAGTGATTCCCGTCACTTGGTATGTAATTAACTATAGAGGCTTGCCTCTATAGAGAACTTGGAACCGATGTATTAAATAAGGAGAATTTATCGGTCACATATAAAATTTCGCACACCAAATGGATGTCACAAACCTCGTAGTTTGTTTGATTGGGTCCATCGTCGCGGGGTACACTTATCTTTCGAGAAGGTATATCATTTGTGGTACCGGACACAATTATACAAATTATTGGGCAAATGAGATCCAGTCGGTCTCATTTTTTTAAAAAATTAAAATACACTATTTAATTATATACATATACCTTTTAGGTTAAATTAAATCATCTACTTTTCAAAACTATAAACAAAATACTTTTTGAAATCGAAAAAGTTGACGGACATGCATAAGATATTAATTAGTCATTATGATAAAATACTTATTTTAATATATTGATTTTTAAAATCTTTCAAATTAAAATTCTATTTGTAACATATGACATCCATCCATCTATAATAAATGAACTTGTTCCTCTTAATGCTCCATGATGGTCCATTTCTGGAGTGTTTGGCGGTTGATAGAAGCCACCCTCGAGGGTTTTTAATAGTCCGCATTGGTTCAGTATGAGTGTATTTTAATGTGTCACATTGAGGGCTAGGTGAGATCCCATGAACGGTACTGTTTTATGTATCCTTACGTTTGATGTTGCACATCGAGAGTATAGAGGAGGTTAAATTGATTTTGCCGAGGAAGCTAGTTATATATTTATGTGGTCGGTGAAAGCCTAGTTCAATGGCTGCAACCCATTGCATAAAGTCAAACAAAGGATTTTGACCATTGCTTGGAATCCTTGGCCAGAGTTTTACTCAATATAATATTTTATGGGAGAAGTCGCATATCCTTGAAAGGATCAATTAATGCCCTTTGAGATGTAATGCATATGCATACCACCTTAGGGCTATGGAGATTGTGTCCACTTGGACCTGTCTTTCCAGACCTTACTCGAGGCAAAAATTGCAATGCTTGCTTGGTGTGTTATTTGGGAGAATATTATTAGACCACAAGCTTGCTCAGAACATTGTCATGATTTCCTTTTGAGGCTGTAGTTAGGGATACCTCTCAGTCTTGATATGCTTACTATGGAGGTGCCAAAATTTGTTTTTGTGATGTTGCCAAGGTGTTGCATTGATCTTACTAGGAGATCAAATAGGAGGTGGATGATGTTGGGTCTTCGTCTTGGTTGTTAGTCAATGATGGTGGCAATGTTTCTCACATATGTGCTAAACTATTGCATGTAGAAGTTGTGTTTATAAAAAGAGTTTCATTGTTTTAAACATACATGAATATCTACTTACACAATCAAGTTGAGTACAATTAGTAGGCTGCCTTTTCTCTAACTTTGGGAAGTGGTTCTTACAAAGCAAATAGAAGTTGGGTGTTGATATCAGGGCAATCCATCTTTGAGAGAAGAAACATGCTTGACCTTATGTCAACAAATGAGATGATATTGAAAGATTAGTCGTTGAAGATGGATTGAATGGTCCTCTTAGAAGTGAAGAAAACATGAAATGTTTTTGGACAGTTGCAATGGCAAATGTTTCACAATCTAAATGCGACAAATGAGGCGACATGGAAGGCCATGGAGGTGAATGATAATGACAAGTTCTATCATCCTAGAAGTGAAAGTAGCATGTTGTTACGATGGTGGAGGAGACATCATAAGGTCTTAGGCTTTTGAGAATGTTTTTTTTGTTTACTTTTCTTGGAGGCAATAGATGAGTTGGCACAAAATGTCATAGACATAATTGAGGGATGATCCTCATTTTAGAGGTTGAATAACCTAACTTGAAAATTGCGTGTGAGGAGGCGCAAGATGGTTGTGGTGGTTATCAAGGTTAGTTGGGATTAATTTTCTTTTGGAGGTGTGGATGACACAACGTGGAGGCATCATGCTAAGTGGTGCCAGAAGGTTTTGACTAAGGGAAGTTGAAGCGAGCTTTCTTTTTCAAGGTAGATATTAATTGAATGCGGGTGACTAGGCAACTTTAGAAGGTCGTGGCAGTTACGATGGTCTTCTTTCTGTAGGTAGCGTCACAATAAGATTTTGGAGGTGATTGATGGTGGTTGAGATGATGGTCCTCATTTTGCAATGATGAAAGGTTAAGTTAGGGGCTATTTGATTGGCTGAAAAATAATGCAATATAAAATGAATGTAGAGCAAAAATAATGTATTGTATTTAAAATACTTTGAAATTATTTGGTTAAGTATAAAATAAATGTACAATTTCATATATATTTTTTATTTTGTTTAAAGTAAAATGAAAATAATGTATTTAAAAAATAATGTGTTAGCTTACGGTGGTGGGTGAAGGTGGCGAACGGCTTGCAGTGGGTGAAGAATTATTTGTGGTTGCTGGTGTTGGTACCAGCGGTAGTCCGAGGGTGGCAATAGTCAACACTAACGGCGCGGGCGACCGAGAGGTGGCTTGTTGGGCGATGCAGCTATAGCTTCTGACTAAAAGCATGGGCATTTTGCTTGGAAATGTGCATTTGGAAACTAGTTAAATCTATCAAATTCAAAATACATAAAAAATGAATTAAGGAATGAATTCTAAATTCATTCATATTTTACACAGTATTTGTATTTCTTTGGATCAAACATCAAAATTTTTAATTTCCCTGTAAAGGAATTGCAATGCATTGATTTTTTAGCAGACCAAACAACCCCTAATGTAAATCGACAGATGACTGAGGGCACTACAACTTAAAGTTGACAACTGATTGATGACAGTTGAGACAATCTCTTTCATGAAAGTAAGGGGCACTGGACGTCCCAAAGTCGATTTGAGATTTAGGGTGGTTGGGGTAATCTCTCTCTTAGGAGGGAAGGCTAAACAACTCAAAATTAGTAGGCAAGGATGGGTGGGATAGTTATAAGGGACATTTTATTGACCATGTTGTTATGAGGGTGCCTAGCTTAAGGGAAAATTTATCTTTTGTACATTTAAAGGCAATTTAGTCTTTTACTGTTATTATTTTTGGGTATAAACAGACTTGTTATGTCTAGGGTTAGTTTTCGTGCATGAGATTGAGTTGTGAGTCTTAGGTTTAGGTCTTGGCAGAGATTTATTTCCTCATGAATTGTAGGAATTGAGAGAGATCTTCTACCTCTTGAATTGTATGTGTTTATTTTTTGTATTTGTGTGAGTTGTTTGGATTATTGAAGAAAATATTCTAGTTTGCCATAATTTTTTGTGGAAAAACATGCCGATTTCCATCTTAGAGCATAGCAAATTGGTATTAGAGCCTAACCCTAGATACAGTAGTCCTAGGCCTCCTCTGTTGGTTCCAGCAGTCGCCTCCCTTTCCAAGAAACCAGCCTATCCCTGTTGCTTTTGCCGCTGATTTGCAGCTTGTGCCGAAATCAGTGTTGATCTGCAGCGTACTTGTAGCAGAAAGGAGTCTCCTTGTAACATCGCTGATTTACTTCTTCCTTTGCCACTAATTTGCAACTTCCTCTACCGCTGATCTGTAGCTTACTTGTACCAAAATTCGTGCTGATCTGCAGCATACTTGTGGCAGAAAGCAGTCTCCTTGTAACTTCGCTGATCTACCGTTATTTTACTTATTCCTCCGCCGCTGATCTACAACTTACCAATTATTATTCAAATCGACGGTCGGCATTCATTTTTGTGATATAGACCCATGAATCAATCGACGAAATTTCGGGGTGAAGGTATTTTCGTGCTTTGTGATCAAAATTTTTTCGGAGTGATGGAAATAAAAAATGTGCATTATTTAGAGAAAAAATTGGAGAAAGAGATCTGCCAAATCAGATCTAGGTTTGAAGAAAGTTCGCCACCATAAATGATAGATTTTTCTTCCATGAAAAATCGAATGGAAGACCGATTTGAGAGCATGGGGGAAATCCGAGAGATGCTAAAGTGGCTCATTGAGATGCAATCCAAAAACCTGTTGAGAGCTCAATTTACAATCCCTAACCAAAAGTTAATTGGAAAATTTGTGGCAAGTTTGAAAGGAAAAGTGATTGAATGTGAGGAACAAAAAGAAAATATCCACCATCACGAACCTTCTCTTAGGACTCCGATTAGGGGCAGATTAGAGGTTTCTGATGGATTCATTTGGGTGAAAACATGGAGAAGAGATTATGCCAAAGGTTTGGAGGAGCACGGAGAAGGGAGAGAAGCGGGGAGGGGATATGACTACGGTCGAAGGAAGGATTTGTACCCTCGATATATGGAGAGAAACAATAGAGGAAGAAGTTGGGGTAGAGATATTATAGTTAGGAAGTTGGAAATGCCAATTTTCGAAGGAGAAGACGCACATGAGTGAGTGTACCGGGCGGAGCGATACTTCGCAGTGAATAGATTAGATCGGGTGGAGAAACTCATGGCGGCAAGTTTTTGTTTGGAAGGGAAAGCTTAGCCCGATTTCAGTGGAGGAATGCTAGATATCTTATTCGTTCATGGGATGAACTTAAGAATTGTTTGTTGGAACGTTTTCGAGTCATTCGGGAAGACTTACACGAGAAATTCTATGTCTTGGCTTAGGAGGGGACGATCATGGAATATAGAGAGAGATTTAAACTACTGTCGGGACAACTGTGGGTGATTTTGTGAATCAAAACTAGAGAAAAATTTCATGAAGGGCTTAAAGCCTGACATTGAGCTAGCCCAGATAGTGGAGGATAAGAACCAAATGAAGAAAGCCAGGAGGAGCAGCACAAGTAAAGCGTTTTATGGAACTGCTGCAACCGTGATGATGCCAAAAGTTCAAACAGTGAAAGTCCAGGGAGACGCTGTATGCGACACAAATAATGGAACACGACAAGAGCAACACAAGCTTTTTACAGAGACAGGGATTCGGGAGAAACGAGTGAATGAGTTATGTTTTCGGTGTGATGAGAAGTTTATCCTGGGACGCTGTTGCAAGTATCGAAAATTATAAGCTCTCATTGTACCGGATGAAGAGCAGGTGATGAAGAAATAGAGACAGTTGTGGGGGAAGAGGAGGAACACTCTCATTATTTCCCACCTTGAGGACAAGTTGTCTTTTGGAAGCGGAGTATTGTTATAATGGTGCCTAGCCTAAGGGCAAATCTGCCTTTGGTACGCCTAAGTGCAATTTAATCTTTTATTATTACTATTGTTGGGTATAAATAGACTTGTTATGTCTAGGTTTAGTTTTCATACATGAGGGTTTATGCATAAGATTGTTGTTGTGAGTCTTAGGTTTAGGTCTTGAGAGAGATTTCCTGCCTCTCAAATTGTAGGAATTGGGAGAGATCGCCTACGTCTTGAATTGTAGGTATTTATTTTTTGTATTTGTGTCAGTTGTTTGGATTATTGAAGAAAATATTCGTGTTTACCATAAATTTATATGGAAAAACGTGTCAATTTCCGCCTCAGATCATAACACGTATCTCTTAGAAAGGGGGGAGGGGAATCCATATGACTTGTAGATGATAAGCAAGGGACATGGTAATGATCCAGTAACATTAGAAATGACTTTTTGAGTATATTAAAAATTTTGAGGGAGATATTTTGGCTCTTATTTGAAATTATCCAAGAAAAATTCTGGTTCTTATAATAACAAATAGATTGGGTTGCACCTTCTTTGTTAAAAAGTGATCAGACAATCTCATTATTGGTAGAGGTCCACTGACACCTTAGTTTTCAGTTAACACAAAAAATTTATCATCTTTTACATTTTTCAATGCCACTAATCAAATGAAGTTGATGGATATAAATTTTGTCGGTAAGATAGTTATAAATAAATCCAAGAAGGTTCATTAATCAAATTTTTTGTTTTTTGGATGTAAATGATTGGCTTTTTTTTTTTTTTTTTTTTTTTTTTTTTGTCGGATAGATTGTCTCATTGAGTGAAACCATTGGACATGAACGATTCATTTAAGTAATCTCTATATGGCCTATATGAACCTAGGGATGTCATAACTTTGTTGAACAAATTACAAATGCATCTTGTTGTGATTAGGAACACCATGGTGCTCTTTGTGTGAAGGGAAATGTTGGATTGGGTTGCCTTGTCCAGGCCAAGCCAACCTGCTTTGGCTTGTCTTGTTTGGGTCCTTTTTATGCTTCAATTTAGTTGTTTTTGGAGTTATTGGAATAGTTTGAGTGAGCTGATCAATTGAGCAGTTATGTTGCATGGATACAGATACGGCGATACGGACACGACACGAGGCATTTTTGTTATTGAAAATATAGGACACAGATGAACATCAAACACAACATTATAATAAAATTATAAAATAATTTGTATAAATTAAATAATCAAAATATTAAGAATAATATCAAGAGCATAAAAAATTTAATAACAATAATTTTGAAAATTTTTTAGTTAATATGAACTTTCTATTTAATGGACAACAAGATAGATCTATATAGGTTTAACCTTTAAAGAAAAAATAAATTATTATTTTTTATTTTAATTATAAAATTATATCATATATATTTATTTTTCAAGAAAGATTTTAAAAAAATAAATTTACTAATGAAGGGACACTTGTCTCTTTTTTCAATACTATTTAAATTGGACACGTTGTGGCCGTGTCCGACACATATCTGGGGCGTGTCCGACATGTGTTCATGTCTGTGGCATGTTTGACACTGCACGACTCTTTAATCCGGAGCATCTGTGCATCATAGTTGAGCAGTAAACTTGCATTATTTGGACATCATTTTGTTCTTGAGAAAATGATTAAATCTTATTTATAGTAGGTTAGTTTCTTTTTGAGTACTCTAGCCTGCTGTGTCAAAAACTGTGCTTTCATAATCAGAGGTTTTTACAATTTCTACAATTATCATGTAGTATTCTGACATATAAATAGATTTTGTCACTACTAATCAGTGGAATTAGTTTGCTTATTAAATTCTTTGCTAATTATTCATATACTATAGCTTTTATATTGCTAAAATCATCGCAGTATATTGACTTATCAGATTATATGCTCGATTATGTTCTATCTTTAATATCGCCTTTGTTGATCTTTCATATATATTGCTTGTACTTATACCATATGCTGTTGATTTCTATGCATATGTTTGGGTGTGTGATGATTTACATTGTGCTTTTTTCTTTGGACGCTTAGCTAATGCATTCTGTGTAATGTGTTATTTGCTTAGAGCTTGCAAAAGATGCATTAAATATGCGTGGATATAATGTTGTGGGAGGATATATGTCACCCGTTAATGATGCCTATAAAAAAGAGGTACCTTTTACCTTTTCCTTTAACTCGTCATCCTCTTCTGTGTATATGCTAAACAAAAAAGTGGTACCTTTTAGTGCTTGATTATGCTTGTGTCTTTTTTTCCTAATACTGTTTAGGAATAACTATAGGGCTTGTTACCAGCTGCTCATCGATTGAAAATGTGTGAAATTGCTTGCCAAAGCTCTTCCTTTGTAACAGTAGATCCATGGGAGGTAAGCCATTCCATATTGAACTTGCCATCATATATATATTTTTTAATTTTGGAAGTCTTGCTTGTTCCCCACGTAGTGGGATTAAGGCTTTGTTGTTGTTGTTGGAAGTCTTGCTTGTTATATGTGCATATTATTAAAAGGTTAGCAAATACTTTTATACTGCTCAGGATCATTTTTTATTTGGTTATGAGTTGATTGTATTGCTTGATGTAGTTCAGTTAAATCTCTTTAATTGTCATGTTTTTCCATAGAGACAATAACTATTGATGACTTGAGGAACTTAGATTTTGTTTCCAAGTTTTTTCAATTCTATTCCAAACTATATTCCAGGTGAAAACTAAAAAATAACACAAACATGACCAAATCTATTTGTACAAGATAGAGCACTAAGTACAATAATGACGGTTCCACTCAACTAAACTTGTCAGTTTTAAGCTAGATGAAACTTATAAATGCTTATAGACAAGGACTAGCCAAGTGTATGGAAGCCGGTTTGCACAAAATTGATGAATCAACTCAATTACACATCAAGCACCAAACAACACATTTTGTAAGGTTTTTCACAATATATGTTGGCGATGCTGAGAATGTTTTATGCTAAGAGTAAGAGTATGACAATGCAAACACGGGTATGAAGATTACGTAACAGCAATTGCACAATGTCATGTTACTCCCGTATGAATTTAGATCATTAAATGAAGGAAGTAGTTGTGTGAGTAAAGAAATCTAATGACGGAGATGGATAGGACAATTTTTCATGCGGTTGGACACCCAGTTGAGCTACATCCATTCCTGAGCACACCATTGTTTAGGATTCCACTACACTTTCTCCTGTTGTTGTAGAACTCTCTCTTTGATGGTGGAGTAACCAAAACATATTATGATTTGTCTCCTGCCTCCTGCTCTTGTTGGCATATTTGATTAGTTTCCAATGCATTAAGCTACTCATTAATTTGGCTTATTGGTTTGTTTGGCTGATCATGTTTGCTAGAAACTATCTTAGTTTATTTTGTAAGATAGTTAAAGTATCATCGTTGGGGTGATTTTTTAAATGTTTTTGATAATTCACCCAACTTATAGATGGCAATTTTGAAACCAACCTTGCCTCTAAGATATCAATTTGATATAGGACTATTATTGGTTTAGGGTTATTAATGCAACCTAGGATTAGCTGCTCAATGTAAACAAACAAAAAAGCATAATATGCAGTTTTCCAACTATTAATTGTAAAAATAAGTATATGCTACATTTGCTACAATTAAATATTTAATTGTTATCGAAATATGAAGTTCCACCTGAAAATAACCAGAGGATATAAAATTTCAGCATTGATCAAATTCCACACTATGAAATAAAATTCGACAAATTTTAAACTTGATAATTTCTATCACACACCGCCAAATAAATATTTTAAGAGTAAGAACATGGATAAAAATAACCCAAAAGGAAGAACTAGGCTCACGTCACCCTGAAATACTCTTCTACCCTTGAAACATTTGAAGAATACACTTCCATCTATCACACACAAGAATTAAAAAAAAAATTGAAATTTTATTGTAATACTCAGTTTGAATCAGTCGCAATTTTTATTTTAAAAAAAAATTGAAGAATACCCTTTGGAATTCTTATTGGTTTAGTTAAAAACAACTAATTTCATCTCTCACATCACACAAGCAGTTTGAATCAGTCGCAATTTTCTCTATTTCCTTGTGAATTCATCCAAGAAGGCAAACCATTAACACTTAAGTTGAGTTTCTGCGATTTGTGGCAGTGAGTAATTTGGTACTGTTGTATTAACTGCATAACTATTTGAGGTTCGTCAGAACTGCCTTTAGGCTTGTAGGAAAATGAAATCAAATTTTGATTTCAGGTTTCTGTATATTAATTCTCGTAGATTAAGGGTTTGTTTGGGTGACTAGTTTTTAAAAAGATGGTTACAAAATTATGAAAGAGAAAACAACTTAGAAAGTTATGGTGACAAGTATATATATTTTTTTGCCAAAATAAAAATTTCATTGATGGGAAAAATATACAAAAATTTTAGCGAGCGGGTGCTTGGAACTCACTCACAGGACATACAAGACTCAAAGGTAACCAAAAAGTACAAGCATACCCCAAAAAAAGATGGACAATTTTCCCAAATGGTAAAAATGGTCCACCAGAGAGTTTAATCATGATGAGTGGACTTTCCTCTCTCCCTAGATATCCAAAATGTTGGTTAACAATTTTTTACAACCACCGTCTTTAATATGTCAGTTAAAAATAAGAGCTTCCCACCACAAAAATTTTTAAAAAATAAAAAGAAAACAATTTTTCAAATAGAGCTATGTTGGCAATCTGAAATGCAAAGTAGGCAAAAGCTATCACAAACAGACCCTAAGAAATCGTACTTGGTCAAAAAATGCAAAATTTTACAATTATAATCTTATGCCTTCGATATTGTCCAGAAAAAGCATAGGCTTAAGTTTACAATCTTAATCATATGCCCTTTTAATTATCTTTAATTGATGGAAAAATCAATCACTTAACAAATTATGTGGTTCACCCATCATATTAGTGCTAATAAGTTGCTAATAGAAATTTTTTGGTGTGGCATTTTATTAGTGATCCATGTAATGTTTTACTTTGTATAAATTGGACAATGATGAGGTTTCTAGTTGGGCAGCAACAATGGTGATTATTTTTCATTTAAAAAAATCATTTGAACATTTTAATTAGAGTCATCAAATTTGATTTGAATGAAAGCCTTTTTCTTTGCTCCTCTTTATTTTTTTCCATGTATTCGTAAAATGTATGGTAGATATTTTGACGCAGGAGCCAGAGTTTTATTTTAATTAATTTCTTATTTTATGTGTTTTAGTGTGTTTTATGTCTTAGTAAGAGAGTAGATTTTGTAAATAGTGGTTGTTTTGTGTGGGTTAGGGATGTAGAATTTTTGTTTGGTTGTAATAACCTTTTCTGTATCATTCCGGGTTCAGAAGTATATTCAGTATCTTGGAGTGGTGCCCAGGCGGTAATCAACCTTCTTTCTTTCAGTTAATGCATTCTTTCTGTCAATATTTTGAGCAAATAGACCGAATGTGCTTTCATTCATAATAATATGTACAATCTATTTTAGGTACATAATATTCTGTATAATCTATTTTAAGTAAATTAATACATTTTCTTTATCTAAATATTTAGCTAAAAGGAAAGAATCCGTGCAAATATAATATTTCTTTCTTTGTAGCATGTGAAGAAAGAAACTCTTTATTTTGTTTGGTTTCATTTATTCCTAATTGATATCTCCCCTCAAATTGATGCTAGCTGATCAAGAAGCTTCAATTTGCTGACAAGAAACTGATGACGCTATCAAGAAAAAGCCTTAGTAAATATATCAGTTGTTTGAAGATCAAAAGTGATTTGAGGAAGAGATATAACACCATTCTCATATGCTTCTCAAATGGAATGACAATCCACTTCAATGTGTTTTGTGTGCTCATGAAAGACGGGATTAACAACAACCTGGATAGCGCTAGTATTATCTGCATGAAAAGAAGTAGACTCAAGCTGAGGAAAACCAAGCTCAACCAACACACCATGAAGCCAAATGATCTCGGAACGAGCAGAGGACATAGCACGATATTTTGATTCAGTAGATAACTTAGACACTCGATCTTGTTTCTTGCTCTTCCAAGAGATTAAAGTGTTGCCGAGAAACGTGCACCATTTTGAGCAAATAGGCTGAATGTATTTTCCTTTGCTTTCGTTCCATTAAATAATAGTTTGTACAATATATTATAGGTACATAATATTCTGTATAATCTATTTTAGTAACTTAATTAATACATATTTCTAATCTAAATATTCAGCTAAAAGGAAAGAATATGTGCATATATAATATTTCCTTCATTGCAACATTGTGAAGAAGGAAATTCTTTATTATGTCTGATTTAATTTATTCCTGATTGATACTTTCTCTTCCATGGGATTTTCAGTCCAAGCTTTTCTTGTTTTCTAAAATTTACGAAGTGCTGATTTTTTGTTTTTATATGGTTATTATGTCATCTTGGTATCAGAGCTTTGGGGTTCTTGTGTCCAAATCTTTCTTGAGCCAGCTGAGATTGTCTCTAGAGTCCTCCTGAGATTGGTTGGTGGATTTCATCTGTCGAGTTCATGCAATATTGGTTCTCGATGCTCTCCTCCACATCTCTACGGTGTTCTCTCTCAAATCTACCAGCAATCGCTGGCTGAATCGAGACTTCCTAATCCAGCCTTGAAGCAGTCCAGTCATATCCCTGCTGTCCTCTGGATTTCCTCTCAGCTTTCTGCTTTTTTCTTCTTCGCAGAATTGTCGACTCTGCAGATTTTGGTCTGCTGTTGACGCAAATTTGAAGCAGCACCTTGGCGGTTTCTCTTTGATGCACGATCTTTTTTGTTTTTCTTCCTTTTTTTGCAACAAAGCCACAAACATTATTGAAGGGAGGTTACTGCTCCATCAAAGAGATCGTCTTCTTCCTCTTTTGGGATGTTTAGTTGCTTTGGGCGAAGTCTATGATCCAGGAAGTTCTCCATACTTTCTCTGCCTTCTGAATTTATGTCCAGAATCTTAGAGAGCCTTGCGTTCAAGTTTTTTTGCTGCAGATTGCTGTCCAAGAATCTTGGATTTTTGTCGAAGAATCGTGCAGATCAAATTGATGATGCCACCAAGGAGGATCAATGACCACCCATTACAAGATTTGGTTGTGGAAGAATTTCAACAAAAAATTCATCGTCTACAAACAAGATTGACGCTTCTTGAACAACGAGATTTAGAAGAATGTCAAAATGAATCCGAAAATGAGGTGATCGACGAGGAAGAAGCTAACCCATTCAATCACGAGACATCTAATGGCGATGAACAACCTCTTTGTAAGTTGAGGCGTGGAAGTCAATGGAAATCTCTAGACTTCAGAATCAAAATCAACCTTCTTGATTTTGATAGAAGATTGAATTTCGATGAATTCATCAATTGGTTATAG